TACATAAGTTTTTAATTTTTAGTATGTCCCACTCATCTATTTTATCTATTTTTGTTTGTGTGGTTTTCAAAATGTTTTGTAGTCCACATATTCCCATCATTAGTGCCTTCACATTTGTCCCGAATTTTTCATTGATGACCTTCATAATTCTTGGATTCATGTTTAGGTCCTTAATCCATGTTGAGTTGGTTTTTGTATAAGGCGTGAGGTGAAGGTCTTGTTTCACCACATAATCTTTCAATATTACAATCCAAGGTGAGTGTTTTCTTCATTTCTTTCAGCTGGAGAAATGCTGAGCATGTTCCTCCTTTTTCGTTTTCTAACTTCAGGTCTTTGCATATTTCATTATAATATTTTACTTTGTCTTCTTGAGCTGCCCTTTGATTTGTCTATGTATCTCTTATTCCTTCATTTCTCCCAGTAGCTTTAGTTTTTCAATATTCCAGTATAAGTATCAGAGTCTTTTCTGATATCCACATTAGTCTTTTCATTTTTACCTCCGTATTGTTAATGACCTTTTACTTTCTTCATGCATGATGTTCTTGAAGTCATTCTGTAACTCTTCTGGTCTTTGGCCATTAGTATCTAATGCATACAATCTGTTCTTGAGATGGTCTCTAAATTCGCATGGGATATTCTCAAGGTCATATTTTAGCTTTCCTAGAGTTGTTTTAATTGTTTTCAGCTTCAGCCTGTATTTGTACATGAGAAATTGATTGTCTTTCCACAGTCTGACCCTGACCTTGTTTTAGTTGCTGATATTGAGCTTCTCCATTGCCTTTAACCACAGATGTAGTCAATTTGATTCCTGTGTATTGCATTTGGTGAGGTTCATGTGTATAGTCACCTTTTATGTTGTTTAAATAAGGTAGTCACAGTGATTAAGTCACTGATATTTTAAAATTCTATCATGCAATCCACAGCATCATTTCTAGCACCAAGACTATATTTTCCAACAATGGGGCTTATAAATTGCAGTCATCAATAATTATCAGTACATCTTGATTGCATGTTTGATCAATTTTAGACTGAAGAAGTTGGCAGAATTCTTCACTTTCATCATCAGTGAGTTTAGTGGTTGATGTATAAATGTGAATAATAGTGATATTAACTGTTTTTCTTTGGAGGCATATGGATATTATTTTAATGCAGACAGCATTGTACTTCAAGATAGATCTTGAAATATTTTTATTGATGAATGCAACACCATTCCACTTCAATTTGTCATTCCCACCACAGTAAGTTCTATGATTGTCTGATTCAGAAGGCCCTTACCAGTCTGTTTCAGCTAATGCTTAGGATATTAATCTTTATGCCTTCTATTTCGTTTGTTAAAACTTTTCATTTTCCTAGATTCATACTTCATACATTCCATTTGCTGATTATCAATGGATATTTGCAGCTCTTTCATCTTATTTTGAGTTGTAACATATTAGAAAATGAAGGTCCTGAAAGCTTAATTCCATCCATGTCATTAAGGTCAACTCTGTTTTGAGAAGGTGACTCTTCCTCAGTTTTCTTTTGAATGTCTTCCAAACTGAGGGTCTCATCTTCTGGCACTATATCTGACAATATTGCAATGCTATTCATAATGTTTTAAGGGACTTACCATTCAGAAGCAGCCTGACTCTTCTTCCTAGTCTTAGATTGGAAACACTGCTGAAACTTGTTCACTTGCTGGTATTTAAAATTCTGGTGGCAGACTTTCAGCATCTCAGCAAAACAGAAGTCACTACAATATGACACACTAACAAATGAGTTGTGATTTAGTGCATGTGTTACTGTTGTTATTAAGTGCCATCAGTCTAGTTCTGACAATTCAGGTTTTCAATAACCTCATATGCATGCGAAAGCTGGACAGTGAATAAGGAAGACCTTAGAAGAATTGATGCCTTTGAGTTGTGGTGCTGGAAGAGAATACTGAAAGTACCATGGGCTGCCAAAAGAACCAATAAATCCATTTTGGAAGAAGTGCAGACAGAGTGTTCATTGGAGGCCAAAATGGCCAAGCTTCATCTCATACTTTGGACATATTGTCAGGAGGGTGCAGTTGCTGGAGAAGGATATCATGTTTGGTAAGGTGTAGGGTCAGAGAAAAAGAGGAAGACCCCCAGCGAGATGGATTAGCCAAGTGACAGCATTGATGCACTCAAGCACGGCAACAGTAGTGAGGTCCAGGATGGGACAGTGTTTCGTTCTGCTGTGCATAATGTTGCTATTGGCTGCTACTGACTTGATGGCACCTAACAACAACAATCTCATATTTACCAGGCACCTAGAAAAAAATATTTGGTTACATTTGATAAGCACTACATTACTGCATATTGTTGTTGTTGTTAAGTGTCATTGAGTCTGTATCGAGTTTCTGAGGAACTGCTGGTGAGTTTGAACGTTGACCTTGCAGTTCAAACTGACATTGTGGTCTGTGCTTATCCTAAAATGCCCCATGTTGTTGTTATTATTAAATGCCATCAAGTCGGCTCCAATTCATAGTGACCCTGTATAGGGTTTCCAGGGAGCAATTTGTGGGTTTGAACTGGTGACCTTGTGGTTTGCAGTCCAGTGCTGCTTCTAAAGTGCCAGTCAAATAGTACTAAACACTCTTTCTAGGTAAATGGTGAATATGAAGTTATAGACCCTGAATTGAACTTGCTTCTCAAAAAAAGATTAAAAAAAAAAAAAATGGCTTCCTTGCCCTTTTGATTGAGTGTCTGCTATGTTGTTGTAAGTATGTTTATTAGCCTATTTCCATGGAAACTATAGATCCATGATAGTGAATTGCTACCATTCTTTGACCTTACTGTAACACTTAAGAGATGGTGGGTTATAAATGGAACTCAATAAGATTTGAAAACCAAAGGGCCTCAAGAATTCTTTTGCATTAGATATGTAGTTTGTGTTCTGGAAAACAATAATATAAGCATATAATGGAGCAAACACTTTCTCTTCCCACCATTTGTAAGGAACCAATAGATGGTTAAGATAAGGCCTAAAATAAAGGGTCCAAGACCCCTAGATCATGAGATCCTGAGAACATTTCACGAGATGTTAATACATGTGTTTTACAGAATCCTCCATGGAAAATTTTGTGGTTTGAGAATGACTGATATACCTTGTACAGATGTTCCCTTTTCATGGGAAATGGAGGTTTTCTACAGACCTTAATCAACGTTATTTATGTGCCTTTTCCAGAACACAAGCTAAATATCAAAAACAAAAGAATTTTTACACCACAGACTTTCGGAAGCTCCCTCATAGAAGCAAGTTTGTAAACCACGGTCCTAGATAGTCAAGCAGACAGTTTGAACACAGAATGAATACGCTCCTAAGTTTACCAAGTTGGCAGGTCAGATGACTTACTGGGATCCAAGCCAGCTTCCTCTTGCTGCTACTCCAGCCACTGTTCTGCATGCTTTTTCTTCTTCTCCTTCTGACTTCCCCTCTCTGACAGGGTAGATAAATATTAGAGAAACAAAAGTTCAGAATGCTAATGCTGCCACTCTCACTTCCTCTCTCCACTTGGCCAGCTCTGCTTTGAATACAGTAATTGCTGTGGGGCACGGAGATGGGAGAGAAGATACTGGTGCCTCAGAGCTGCTTGATCAGTCCATTACAGAGTGTCATGCTTTCAAAGGGTCACTGCCTCTCACAGAAAATGCCAGGATGATGCCTGTCTCACGCCTGACTGGGAGTCTGATACCAGCCATGGCCTTCCTAGCCTACCTGAGACCTGAGAGCTGGGACCCCTGCACGGAGGTAAGTGGTTGGGGTCGGCTTTTTTTATTATGAGCCTTGCCTTGCTTTTAAAAGATGGCTTTCTGCCCCATACTTCCCACTGTGTGCCCTGGTTAATTTATTTTGCAAAAAAGAGTCACCTTAAAGACCTGAGAATAGACAGGAAGCAAATCATTGTTATGGGAAACTCACAGGCAATGGGTGGGCCCCTGTCCCACTTAAGGCTTTGAGGGCTAGTAAGGGCTTTAGGTTGCTATGAGTCGGTTCCGGTTCCGACTTGGTGGCACCCGACAACAACAACAACAATAACAGGGGCTTTAGGTCAAATAGATCTGTGTGTGGCTGTGTGCCCTTGAGCAAGTTATTGAATCTCTCTGAGACTAGTTTTCATATTAAAAATGATAAGACCTCATTCAATAGCGAGTTGTAAGAGGGCTGCCTCAATATCAGTTTTTCCCGCTGGAAGTTTGTACACTCAGCTTTAAGCAGTTACTCGGACTATTACAATTCCAGGAAGAAGTCATCTTTTTTTTTTTTTTTTTTTTTTGTCTCTCAGTAGAAAGAACTTTTAAAGGGAATTTCAGACTGATGCAGCCACTCAAATTATTCCATCTGAAGGATGAAAGAATTTAAAGCAACTGGAAAAAAGAGAAATAAAAAGAGATATACAGAAATGTGTTGAGAGAGAAAGAAGACTAGAATGTGAGAAATATAAAATGTCAGCTAATACAATGGTGGTTTTCTTTATGGAGTTTCAGTCAGCTGATTAGCAATCTCATTAAATATGGATCTCTCTTGTTTTTCCCTTACATGAACTTGGCAGTAGTTTTGGAAGTCCATAGCACAACTAAATAGCCAGCAATGTTCTGGAATTTAAGGCGAGGCAGGGTCAAAAGTTAAAAAAAAACTTAGACTGCCAATCTCTGGAAGTTGAAGACATAGGGAAAACAGTGTACTTAAATATGTAACAAAGGCTAATTCATCATCTCAAAGTCCCTCTTTTTCATCCATCCACTGCCTACAGCCATATTTCTTACCATTTGTCCTGTATTTCTCTTGCTGTTAGGCTAATAAATTAAGATGTCTCCACAATTTTCCTTGGTCCCTTCCTTTCCCTATGATTTATATTCTGTCATTCCCTAAAGTCTCTCTCCTTCCTTGCCCATCCTCTCTATGCCCCCATTTCCAGTCCTTCAACTCATCTGGTCCTGACTCTTGGATATTGACTGGTTTCTTACTGCCATATTGTTGTTGTTAAATGCCATCGAGTTGGTTCTGACTCATAGCAATCCTGTATAGGGTTTCTGAGGAGCAACTGGTAAGCTTGAACCTCCAACCTTGATGCCATCGTCTTCTTCTTTTCATCTCTTCTGTAGTTTTTGTTGTTGTTATTTATTTGTTTATTGTTTATCCTAAGAGTCGGATCTAGCAAATTATTCTCTTCCATAAAAATGTTCAATAACTCTCCATTACCGTGAGGACAGTTTCCTACCACAGGGTCTTTGTAGTGACCATCCCTTCTGCTTGGAATACTTTCCCCTAAATCTGTCCAATGGTCAAAGATACATAATTACAAACTTTCTTATGTTGTTGTTCAGTGCCATCAAGTTGGTTCCAACTCATAGTAATCCTAATTAGGATTTCCTAGGAGTGACTGGTAGGTTTGAACTACTAACTTTGTGGTTAGCAATCAGCACTTATCCTACAGTACCACACTAGGACTACAAACTTTCTCATGGTGGTGGTGGTGTCTGTGTGTCATAGAGTTGATTCCAACTCATAGTGACACTGTATGGGGTTTCCAAGGCTGTAAATCTTTACAGGAGTAGAAAGTCTCATCTTTCTTCTAAGGAGTGCCTAGTGGATTTGAGCTACTGACCCTGTGGTTAGCAACCCAATGCTTTACTCACTATGCTAACAGGGCTCTTTAAACTTTCTTACAGTCACATTTTTAAAAATAGAAAGAAAAAAAAAAGGTAAGATTAATTTTAACAATGTTTTTTATTTAACATGTGATTAAAAATATTTCAGCAGTTAATGAATATTATAAATTATTAATTAGGTAGTTTATAGACTCTTTTTGGTACTAAATCTTTAAAATCTAGTGTGTAGTTTATATTTACACGACAAGCCAGCTTAAACAATACACAGTTCTGTGCTCAATTGGACAAAGTAGATATTTTCATGGCTTAATTTATCCCTCACTTCATTTAGATTTCTGCTTGAATGCCACTTCCTCAGCAAAGACTTCTTTGATTGCCCCATGCATTTGTCTTTAGACCCCTTATGCTGCTTAATTAAAAAAAATAAAATAAAATAACACATTATTTATTTTTATTTTTGCACTGTGTTTTCCTTTGGAGTGGAGTATTCAAGAGGGCAAGGCCATTGTTGATTTTATTAATCACTAGATTCTCTGTGCCTAGAACATAGTTGTTGTTGTGAAGTGCCGTCAAGTAGCTTCCGACCCATAGAGACCCTGTATAGGGTTTCCGAGGAGCAGCTGGTGAACTTGAACTGAAGACCTTGCAGTTCAAACTCTTTGCAGTCTGGCGCATTAACCCACAGCGCCACATAGTGGTAGCTCACTTATATGTGAGGCGGCTCCTGATCTGGCTCTGTTTATACATTTATCTAATGTTCCACCACTCATGACATTTGCTAGCAAATCTGCATTTTTTGTTGTTGTTGTTTTTTTGCCCCTTCTTGCTCACACTGTTCTGCTTTTATCCATCTTTTCCTATACAGATCTTACCCTCATTCAATGTTGTTGTTGTTGTTAAGTGCCGTCGAATCGGTTCCGACCCATAGCGACCCTGTACAGGGTTTCCGAGGGTGTAAATCTTTACGGGAGTAGAAAGCCTCATCTTTCTCCCGCGGAGC